AAAATGATAAAGACGTTATCACCACCAATGCCACAGAAATACAAACTACCATCAGAGAATACTATAAACTCCTCTACACAAATAAACCAGAAAATCCAGAAGAATTGGATAAATTCTTAGACACTTACACCCTCCCAAGACTAAACCAGGAAGAAGTTGAATCCCTGAACAGACTTAACAAGTTCTGAAATTGAGGCAGCAATTAAAAGCCTACAAACCAAAAAAAGTCCAGGACCAGAAGGTTTCATAGCTGAATTCTACGAGCAGTACAAAGAGGAACTGGTACCATTCTTTCTGAAACTATTCCGAACTCTAAAAGAAGGAATCCTCCCTAACTCATTTTGTGAGGCCAACATCATCCTGATACCAAAACCTGGCAGACACACAACTAAATAAGAAAATTTCAAGCCAATATCCCTGATGAACATTGACGTGAAAATCCTCAAAAAAAAAAAAAAAAAAAATACTGCCAAACGGAATCTAGCAGCACATCAAAAAGCGTATCCATCATGATCAAGTTGGCATCATCCCTGGGATGCAAGGCTGGTTCAACATATGCAAATCAATAAACGTAATCCATTACATAATCAGAACCAAAGACAAAAACCACGATTATCTCCATAGATACAGAGAAGGCGTTTGACAACATTCAACAGTCCTTCATGCTAAAAACTCTCAATAAACTAAGTATCAATGGAACGTACCTTGAAATAATAAAAGCTATTTATGACAAGCCCACAGCCAATATTATACTGAATGGGCAAAAACTGGAAGCATTCCCTTTGAAACCTGGCAAAAGACAAAGATGCCCTCTCTCACCACTCCAATTCAACACAGTATTGGAAGTTCTGGCCAGAGCAGTCAGGTAAGAGAAAGAAATAAAGGGTATTGAAATAGGAAAAGAGGAAGTCAAATTGTCTCTACTTGCAGATAACATGACCATATATTTAGAAGACCCCATTTTTCTGAGCCCAAAATCCCCTTAACCTGATAAGCAACTTCAGTGAAGCCTCAGGATACAAAATCAATGTGTAGAAATCACAAGCATTCCTATACACCAATAATAGAGAGGTAAATCATAAGTGAACTCCCATTCACAATGGCTACAAAGAGAATTAAAATACTTAGGAATAAAACTTACAAGGGATATGAAGGACCTCTTCAAGGAGAACTACAAACCACTGCTTAAGGAAATAAGAGAGGACACAAGCAAATGGAAAAACATTCCATGCTCATGAACAGGAAGAATCAATATCATGAAAATGGCCATACTACCCAAAGTAATCTGTAGATTCAACCCTATCCCCATCAAGCTACCATTGACTTTCTTCACAGAATTGGAAAAAAACACCTTAAATTTCATGTGGAACCAAAGAACAGCCCACATAGCCAAGACAATCTTAAGCAAAAAGAACAAAGCTAGAGGCATGACACTACTTGACTTCAAAGTATACTATAAGGCTACAGTAATCAAAACAGCATGGTACTGGTACCAAAACAGATATATAGACCAATGGAACAGAACAGAGGCCTCAGAAGAATGCCACACATCTACAACCATCTGATCTTTGACAAACCTGACAAAAACAAGCAACGGGGAAAGGATTCTTTCTTTAATAAATGGTGTTGGGAAAACTGGCTAGCCATATGGAAAAAGTTGAAACGGGACCTCTTCCTCATACCTTATACAAAAATTAACTCAAGACAGATTAAAGATTTAGACATAAGACCTAAAACCATAAAAACCATAGAAGAAAACCTAGGTAATACCATTCAGGACATAGGTATGGGCAAAGACTTCATGAATAAAACACCAAAAGCAATGGCAACAAAAGCCAAAATAGAAAAATGGGACCTAATTAAACTAAAGAGCTTCTGCACAGCAAAAGAAACTATCATCAGAGTAAACAGACAACCTACAAAATGGGAGAAAATTGTTGCAATCTACCCATCTGACATAGGACTAGTAACCAGAATCTACAAAGACTTAAACAAATTTACAAGAAAAAAACAACCCCATCAAAAAGTAGACAAAGGATATGAACAGACACTTCTCAAAACAAGACATTTATGCAGCCAACAAACATATGAAAGAAAGCTCATCATCACTGGTCATTAGAGAAATGCAAATCAAAACCACAATGAGATACCATCTCATGCCAGTTAGAATGGTGATCATTAATAAGTCAGGAAAAAACAGATGCTGGAGAGGATGTGGAGAAATAGGAACACGTTATATAGTTGGTGGGAGTGTCAATTAGTTCAACCATTGTGGAAGACAGTGTGGTGATTCCTCAAGGATCTAGAACTAAAAATAGCATTTGACTCAGCAATCCCATTACTGAGTATATACCCAAAGAATTATAAATCATCCTATTATAAAGACACATGGACATGTATTTTATTGCAGCACTGTTCACAATAGCAAAGACTTGGAACCAACTCAAATGCCCATCAATGATAGATGGATAATTAAAATGTGGCATATATGCATCATGGAATACTATGCAGCCATAAAAAAGGATGAGTTCATGTCCTTTCCAGGGACATGGATAAAGCTGGAAACCATCATTCTCAGCAAACTGACACAAGAACAGAAAAGCAAACACCGCATGTTCTAACTCATTAAGTGGGTGTTGAACAATGAGAACACATGGACACAGGCAGGGGAACATCACACCCCCGGGCCTGTTGGGGGATGGGGGAGTAGGGGAGGGATAGCACTAGGAGAAACACCTAATGTAGATGATGGTGTGATGGATGCAGCCAATCATCATGGCATGTGTATACCTATGTACCAAACCTGCACGTTCTACATGTGTACCCCAGAACTTAAAGTATAATAAAAAATAATAATAAGAGCCCTTTCTGAGAAATCCACAGCCAACATCATAATGAATGGGGAAAAGATTAAAGCATTTCCCCTAAGAACTGGAAAAAGACAATTATACCCACTTTTACCACTTTTTTTTTTCTTTTTTGAGGTGGAGTTTCGCTCTGTCACCCAGGCTGGAGTCCAATGGCGTGATCTCAGCTCACTGCAACCTCCACCTCCCAGGTTCAAGCAATTCTCATGCCTCAGCCTCTCGAGTAGCTAATTTTTGTATTATTAGTAGAGACGGGGTTTCTCCACGTTGGTCAGGCTTGTCTCAAGCACCCGACCTCAGGTGATCCACCTGCCTGGGCCTCCCAAAGTGCTAGGATTAAAGGAGTGGGCCACCGCACCCAGCCACACTTTTACCACTTCTATTCAACATAGTCCTACAAGTCCTAGCCAGAGCAATCAGGCAAGAGAAAGAAATAAATGGGATCCAAATTGAAAAAAGGAAATCAAACTATCTCTGTTTATAACTCAGGAATGGAAAATCAAATAGTGCATGTTCTTGCTTATAAGTGGGAGCTAAGCTATGGGTACACAAAGGCATACAGAGTGGTATACTGGACACTGGAGACACAGAAATGGGAAGGAATGGAGAGGGAGATGAGGAAAGAAAAATTACCTATTGGGTATAACGTACACTATTCAAGTGATGAATACACTAAAAGCCCAGACTTGACCACAGCACAATTCATCCATGTAAGCAAAAACCACACATAAAGCTATTGAAATAATAAAATAAAAATACTAAAAAAACCACAAAATTAAAAGTGAATAAAATACTTGTAAATATTTAAAGGAGCTCATTTATTGAAATGCCGTAAGTTTTTCTACTATAATTTTGGCTAGGAAATAAAGTGATTTTTTTAAAAAAAGGAGAGTAAAACAGCAAGAGCAACAAAGGCAGTAACAAGGCCCTCACAAACTCAAGACCCAAGCTACATACATGATTTTCTGCTGAATTAAAACTGTATTAGTTATTAGGTATTAAATAGTAATTAATACTTAATGACAGAAGGTGAGGTAAAAAGAGCTAAAAAGACACTAAATAATCAAAAACAGTTTTCTGAGTCAAATATGGAACCCTTCAAATGGTTTTTGAAAGCCTATAAGCTAACCTATGAATACCAAAACACTGGAATAGCCAGTGGAGACAATCCTGTAACCAGTCATATAAAAAAGTATTCCTTATTGCAGCTATGACCAAAAAATCCTTTCATTAAAGGATTTCCTTAGATTCTTATACTGCAACTCAAAGAGAAACTGTATTCTTCTGTATGACCAGCATGTCCTAAAACTGCTTTCCTTAGTGTTATACCCTTAGAAATAGAGGAGGATCTTCTCTTTCAGCTTAGACCTTAAAATCCAATCCTCTTATTTTATATTGAGCAAACTGAAGATAGACTACATGATTTGTCAGTCCTGGAGTCTCACAGCTAAGCAAAAGTTTACTCATTCTACTATGCCTTCCTATAATGGGCCTTTGAGCCTTCTTGGGGCTCTTTTGGTATGTGGATAGCTATCTATATTTGTTTTTTTGTAGAGCGATGAAGACTGGTATCTCCTACTTCACTATTTTGGTGACATTACCCCCTACTGTGTCTTGTCTGGTTTAAATTTGTGTATACTAACTCCTATGTCAGAAAAGAGAAATCTACTATATTAGTGCAATTATGAGGGACCTGGCATAGTGCCTAACACACTGTGGTTGGCACTTGAACTGGTACATACCAGTTTCCTAAGTCAACCTAATGAAAGCAGCAACCTCTCTTCATCTCACTCCTAGTGGGTCTTAACCTTGACAATAGCTCCCTGCTTTGAAGCACAATAAAACTGGGGCAGCAAATATATTTTTAAAATAAATAAATGCTGCTTAGTGAGATCACTTGGACAGACTCTTTACTTAATTCTGAAAACTATATACTAATAAATAATATATTTCCCTTATCATTGAAAATGTGTTTAAAAGAGTGTTTTGTTAACGCAAATAAGAAAACTTTATTTTGAAAACTTCTGCTGACCTTTTATTGCTCAAAAAATGATACAAATTTACCTACATCTCTACAAAATAAGTCTGCAAAGCATGTCAAGCATTCGGTGCAACACTTTTTCTGTTTCTTACCAGGTCGCGTTGATCCTCCTGTACCAGATCCATTTTGTGTACCAAGCAAAATATTTTGGCATCTGGAGAGTTCTGTAGAATGGCCTCCAGGCATGACTGGTAATAGTGCATGTCCTTTTCCAGTTCGCGGCTTTCCACATCGAAGACATAAATCAGAACCTCCACATTTCGGAATATGTTGTCCCGTTGGCTAGTGAAATAATTTTCCATGAAGGTGTCTTGCCTGGCAGAAAAAAGAAATCTATAGTAAGCAAATCCTAAGTTCAATTACTCCTCCTTATGACCTATTTTTGTTAGCTTGCTCCATGTGAAAGATAATCTTAAGGCTTTAAAGGGCAAATCATAACAAATAAGTCTGGCCTTAAAACCTCCTGAGCCACAACTTGAGCCAACAAAGTAAGTTTGCAAAACACGTCAACCATTTGGTGCAGCCCCTTTTCTGTTTCTTACCAGATCCCTTTGATCCTCCTGTACCAGATCCATTTCTCTGCCCCTCTCCTTATGTTCTAACACTGACTTTTTCTCAATTCCTCAAGTGGCACATGGTTTATCCACTATGTGGCCTTTACACATGCTGTTCACACTGTCTCAGATGCTACCCCCTACCTCTTCATCTAGCTAACTCCTGCTTGTATCTTTAGATTTCAGTTCAATCTATATTTCGTCACAGAAACTGCCCATGGCCTCCTGATAGGTCAATCCTCTCAGCATAGGCTCTTATACCAATACATTTCCCTTATTTCTAACACTTACCACAAGTTATTACACTTGTTTGTGTGAGTTTTTCATTAATACCATTCATTTCCCTAGACAGCAAGTTCCATGTCTGTTACTATTCTTTGTAGTTTCCCGGCTTCTAACAAACTGTTAAGTACTCAATGAAAATTTGCTGAATGAATAACTCAATAGTCAAATATTCTAAACTACATTAAAACAACTCTAATGGTAATTTTTTAACAGAATGTTGCTATTTGCTCCTTAGGCGAAGTGCTGCTTTCCAGGAAGTTCTCAATTACCACTTGGCCAGCAGAAAACAGTAGCATCCTGTAGTAGGAGAAAAAAATCAGGAACCTAGGTTCTAGTCTTGCACCTTGCTATTAATTAGCTGTGTGAACTTGGTAGAATCATAATCTCCCTGGACCTCAGCTGCCTTATCTGTAAAAATGAAGATCATCACATCTTAGTGCCTAAAAGCAAGGGACTAGGGACTAATCTCTTGACACGGATTAGAAAATTAGAACCAACGATAATGAGGAAGGATTTGTATGGAGATAGGTGCTAGGGTATTAAGTGATCTGTCTGCTAGCAGGAATGGAGTCATTTTCTTATAGGGTATTTAGCTACTGCATTATTCTTTCAACAAATATTCATTGAGTACCTACTGTATGGCTGGCTCTATGCGAAGAGGTGGGAAACACTGAGCTAACAATATCTATTTATTTTGTGAGACACTCTGCTATGCAATTTTGTATAAGTCATCTAACTTAATCATCAAAACAACCCTATGAGCTGGTACCATTGCCTTCACTACTGTACAGATGAAGAAACTGTGACTCAGAGAGTTTAAATGATCTACCCAAGATAACACAGCTAACAGAGTTTAGGTGCAAACCTCAATCTAACTCCAAAACCTATGCTCCTATCCACTGTGCAGTGCACACGGCTCCTTCAGCACAAAGATGCAATGGCAATGGCCATAGAGTAGGGAGCACCATGAGCATACATCCACAGTGTGTGTACATTTGTCATGGAATATGTGGTGAATACTTCTCTTACAAAAGGAAGAACTCCTACTCTTCCAAAAAGTAGGTAACTTAGCTACAGAATATGTGCTCAGCATCTGATCCACAGTATTGAGACTGACTGGAGAAAATTATTGAAGTATTGTAACTAAGAACAAAGAAGTATGGTGTGACAGCTAAGAACTCAGCAGTGGGCTGCCTGAGACAGAAACCTAATTTATTCCTCCACAAAAAAAGGGGATAATCGATCCCAAACTATGGATACCTAGATGAAGCTTGGATTAGTGCTATTTAAATATGTCACATACAGAGGGCATTTTCACAATTCCATAAAAGTCAGAGATCTTTATTGACTCAAGTATCAATTTTGAAGTAATTGCTAACCAATCTATTATAAATGATAGTTACTCTACTAGGTATATTCGCCATGCTGATATACTAGATGCCATGATTACTGACATTGGCTTAACAAACAAGTAAGCAGATGGTACTTACCCACCACAATCCCACAGGTTCAATACCAGGTTTCCCAGAAATCGAACATGAGAATGTTCTACATCAACTGGAAGACAAATATGACAAACTAGTAATTATAGCGGGTGTCGTAAAATTCAAAATAAGCAAAGCACTAACCCATAAAATTTAGAAGGACCAAAGTGGAGTGAAATGCTCAAAGCCACAAGAAGAAGGTGATTTTCAGCTTAGTAGCGTGGTTTAGTGGCAAGGTGGGCACCTAAACTACCCTGAGCTACAGAACTGGCTCTCATGTAAGTCATTTTATTTTTTAGTAGTTTAGTACTTAGAGCAGAAACAATCTCTAATTATAATACTAATGTTAATATTTCAACATGTAATAGATGTATACCATTTAATCGATCTTCCCTGTTCCAGCTGCCCCCACCAACTTCCCCCGCCACACACACATTTAAAAAACAGTAAGAAAAACCAAACATAAAACATAACCAAACGAACTCCAGCTATTGATTTCCTTTCCAGTTAATGACCCTAATTTTTTTTCCCACTTTTGACTCCTCTATCGACATTCAATACATTGCTAGTCCTTTGTAATTTCTCTCAATTCCATTCCTTATTTTATAACCCACCACAAACATTAGGGAAGCCCCCTTATCACCTCATGTCTACACTACTACAATACCTCCAAAACTGACCTCCCCACCAAAAAGCCTTACTTACTTTTACTTCATCCTACAGGCTACTACTACCAGGCTCATCTTCTTAACACCACTTTGAACATGTCACTCCCCATTCAAAACACTTTCAATGGCTCCTCCATGCCTATGGGGAGGCATTCAAGGTCCTTCACAATTTGGCTTTCAATCTACCTATACATTCCCCAATGATCCATGTTAATAAAGCCTTTCACTCCAGCCCAATTTGGTTTATTCACAGTACTCCCAAACCCCACTACCTCCCCAACCCCCAAAATACTTTACACCAGGGGTCGCAAACTTGCTAACAGGGGCCAGGCCAGTAAACGTATATGAGCAAAGTTGTCTGCATATGGAGGGTAAACATCTACCCAATGCAATAGCAGAGTGAGCAGCAATTACTAAGGTCTTGTTCATTTGCCATACAGGAATGGAGGGGTTACCAGATCTTTAGGTTTTTCAGCAGTAGTGGGAAATCCAGATTTTTATGAAAACTTTTACATGTTGATAACTAAGTCCCATTTTTAGAAACCATCACATGGGCCAAACAAAACACATCTACAGGCCTTATCCAGGATACAGGCTGCCTGTTTGCGACCTCTGAGTTATACTTCCCTCCCCTGTATTCTTCACCTACTCTGTTCATCTACCTGGAAAGCCCTCCCCATCTTTCTTTCAAAATATATTCATCTTTTAAGACCCAGCCTAAATCCCACCTCCTTTAAAAGCCCTGCCTGGCTACCCCCACTTACCGTCATCTCTCCCTCTGAATTCATTCAAACATTTATTAAGCATCTACTCTCTGCCAGGCACTAAAAATCCCAAGGAGTAATAATGAAAGATTTTATCCTGAAAATTTATCAAAGTCTAGGAATTATCATCTATACAATTTGTGATAATCAATCAACCAATGATATTTTGCCTATGACTATCTCAAAGCTGTTGCTTAAATTAACTGCTATCTAACTTTTGTGCAATTTTATCTTCTTATAAACTACATCATAAGCAGCAGGGCATTATTTTAAAAAGCGTCGGCTTTGTAGTCAAACAAATCTTCATTCAAATATCAGCTCTACCTCTATGTGTGTGACCTTGGGCAAATCACTTAAGCTCTGAGTATTAGTTTCCTCTTCAATTAAAAAAGAAGGGGGGGCAAGGCATAGCATTGACCTCACAGGATTACTATGAGGATTCAATGAGTTATCATAAAGTGCCTGGCACGTAGTAGGTGCTCAAACTACTTCCCTTCTCCCCTTTACTTCCCCCTCCTTGGAAAAGGAATCATATCTTACATGTCTTTGTATTTCCAACAGAGTCTACGAGAGAGTAGGTGCTCAAACTGCTATTAATTTGAAGACTATGTATACGGTCTAGTACTAAAAAAAAATGGAAAGAAGTGCTACTGAGAAAGGGAAAGACAATAACAAAAGAAGTGACAGGATTCAGTGATTGTTTAGACATGGGGCACATGGGATAGAAATCAGGTTTCTACTCCCATATCATAGAAATTATTCTCATCAAGTGACCAATGGCCCCATAACCAAATCCAGTGGACTTTTTAGTCCTTGTCTTACTTTCTGCAGCATGACACTGTTGACTACTCTCTTCTTCTCAAAAAATTCTCTTCTCTTGGTCTCTGATATCATACCTACAACTTCTCTGGCAGATCCTCCCTTACAACTCCTATTCTTCTTTCTGTCCCTTAAATGTTGGAATTCTTCAGGACTCCATCCTTGGCCACCTTCCCCAAGGCAAGCTAGCCTATTCGTATTATTTTATTTACCATTTGGACACTGATGACTCAGAAATAGGTATCTCTAGGACAGATTTCTCTCCTACCTTGCTAACATATATTACAAATCTCCATTTGAATAAACCACAAGTATCCCAAACTCAATGTATCCAAGTATATATAACTCATCAACTCCCCTTTCTTCCTACAAAATCTATTCCTCTTTCAGTCTTCTCTATCTCAGTGAATTCAACCAGTTGCCTAAGCCAAAAGCTCAGTTTCATCCTTCAGTCCACTTTTTTCCTCCTCATTCTCCCTAAATCTACCAGAAAGTCCCATTGACTCTGCCTCTTAAAAGATCTCAAATCCATTTGCTTCTCACCACATCCACTATCATCATCCTAGCCCAAATCAAGCCCCCATCATCTCTTATCTGGTCTACTAAAACAGTTTCCAAACTGATCAACCTGTTTCTAGCTTTGCCTCCCTCCAGCCTATCTATCCTCCATATTACAGATAGAGTGATCTCTCCAAAATGCAGATTTTTATTCTTCTTTAAACAGTAAAAAACCATGTCTCTCTGCATATGCATGAATGTATACATCCAGAAAAGAAAGGGACGGAAGGATAACCTCAAAACTATTATTTGTGGTTGTCCCTAGGAAGTGGGCCTGAGAGTGAGGGAGAAAAGAAGCTTTTTATGCGTCTGTAACGTTTGAATTTTTCACAAGTACTACTTTTGTAATTAAAACTGAAAATTAAAAATAATAAAATATAAATCTGTTCATGTTGCTTTAAAAAAAAAAAACAAAAAAAACAAACATTTCCCTAATCCCTGGGACCTGTAAAATATTGATCTTCTGTTTAAAACTCTCTCTACCCTCAGTTCCTACTACCTAACTTGGCTTTCAATACATTTTATGATCTAACTTCCCACTTCCTGCTTCCCTCTTTAGTCTCATGTCTTTCACATATGGCCTTCTAGTTCTCCTAGTCTTCCTACCCTACTGTCACAAGAACAACCAAAAAGAACCAAGAACAGAGCTTTGGGGAATGACACACACTTACGGGGCAGAAAGAAGAAAATACTATGATAAAGATTTTTTTTAAAGAGGGATGGGATGATTAAAGATAAAGGAAGAAAACCAGGGTAATAGAGCATTAAATAAAAGCCAAGGGAACAGAGAATTTTGAGAAGGTAGGAAATCTTGGAGCCGTCAACAGTGTTTGAGACTAAAATACTTCATAAAAATTTTTATTGACAAGTTTACTATTCCAACAAATACATTTAGCAGCCCCCTAATAAATTAATAATATCACCATCATGTATTCTTACTTCAAATTTCAAAACACAGTAGGCTCTAAGTTTAACAAAATAAAACTGGACTATTTTCAGCAATGAGAAACTAGAAAAACACTAAAACATTAAAGTCAAGGTAATATTTTAGAAGTACTCTTACTACTTTTAAAGAAAATCAGCAACTACATAAAGAGGACTATCAAGTAAAAAGCAATGCACTATATTGAACGTGTCCATAAGTTTAGTAATAGAACCCAGGTATTTCTTTAGCAATGACAAACTAAATGACAAGTTTAGCAATAGAACACAGGTATTTCTTTAGCAATGAGAAGCTAATGATGATATCCTAAAGCCTTAAGACCAACATAACATTTTAAAGTATACTTTCACTACCTGTAAGGGAGATACAATAATTACCAACAAAGTATTAGTAATAAAGGTCCCATTTGATTGAGATATTCTTAAGGGCAAGAGCTCTGTCATGTTCTTTATGCCTGCTACACAAAAAGTTCCAAAAAATACTTGCTGAATAAATGGTTTGCCTTAATGTATAGGGTTCACATAATTTGCAAAGTTCTGTTCACAATAAGACTGCTAGGTTATGTCAAAACTATTTTAAGCAGTTTGAATAGCTCTGAAATGTTGGTTGCAAGACTATTCTCTGGACTCAGGGTTAGTCAACTCTGCCGATCAGCTATATAAGAACATCAACAGCAACTGGACCAGAAAAAAGGTGCTTCAACAAAGTGTGCAGGATTTAAAACAGAAAGAAAAGTAAGTCTACCAGGAATTGTTAGCAGAAGGTAAGCTAGACAGAATGTAGCATAAGGAATAAAGGAAGAGCATAGATTGACATTCCAGCTCTAACACTTCCTAGGGCAGTGATATTAACTTCTAAGTTGTACTTCCTTTTTTATTCTCTAATAAAATGAAGTTAACATCAGAACTAATGTAAATAAAAGAGTACACAAAAGTCTGACAAATAGCAGTTGTTCCATAACTGTTAGCTTTCTCTAATCTACTGAAACCACCAGGGTAATTAGGCCCAGATATTTAACTTGAAAGAAACAGAGTTTTAATCTATTAAATCAAGACAGAGAGAAGTTTGGACAGGTAGACTTTCCAGAGGCCAGAGTCACAGATGTCAATTGTAGAGGCATGACAGGCCATAGGACACTATCCTGACCAAAACTTTTGACCTATAACTTAGATGAAAACTAGATGAGATATTCATCAAAGGTACAAACTGCATGGAGTTAGTAAAGATAGCTAATATGTCAGATATTAGAGTTAGGAAAGATAGCTAATATATCAGATAAGAGAATCAGTAGCTAAAATGAAAATAAGATCCAATCCCTTTTTTAATGGATAAAGGAAAAAAAGAGATTGGACTTGTTCTGGATTTCACAGTTAACAAACAAAGGGTACAGGAACGTATGATGGGCTAAAACAAACAAAACTAAATGATTTAATAGAAATAAGCATGTATTCTTTGATTCAAAATAGTAAATGCACAAGAGTCAGAAGAGTATGTGTTTTAATAACAACATACATGAAAGGGAATTGGGTTTTTTGGTAAGACTCTGCATAATAAAAGTTACTCCAAAAAAGGAAGATACGTGTTAGACCATGCTAACAGCAATGCAATGTCCAGGATAAGAGATGTGATAGGCCCACTCTGTCCTGATCAGACTCCACCTGCATTCAAGTCTCAGTATCTTAAGAAAAATGTAGACAAGTTGAACACATCCTTAAAAATGTTTCAAAATATGTCAAATGAGAAATAGATGGAAGAGCTGGACATGCTTGACTTAAGGAAGACATGATTTGTGAGGCAAGATGGCCAAGGATGTTGGCTCACACCTATAGTCTAAACACTTTGGGAGGCCGAGGCGAGGCAGGTAGATCATCTCAGGTCAGGATTTCGAGACCAAGCCTGGCCAATATGGTGAAACCCCGTCTGTACTAAAAATAAAAAAAATTAGCTGGATGTGGTGGTACACACCTGTAGTCCCAGCTACTTGGGAGGCTAAGGCAGGAGAATCCCTTGAACCGGGAGGTGGAGGTTGCAGTGAGCCGAGATCATACCACTGCACTCCAGCTTGGATGACAGAGCAAGACTCAGTCTCAAAAAAAAAAAAAGATTTGTGAGGCAAGAGATAGCTAGGACAAACTGAGACACTGACTAACCTCAAATATTTTTAGCGGCTTAAGAGAACAGAAAGAGAATAAGCTAACAGAAAAAAACGGGAAATAGGCCAGTCACGATGGCTCACATCTATAATGCCAGCACTTTGGGAGGCCAAGGTGGGCAGACCACTTGACGTCCGGAGTTAGAGACCAGCCTGGCCAACGTGGTGAAGCCTGTCTCTGGTAAAATACAAAAATTAGCCAGGTGTGGTTGTGGGTGCCTGTGATCCCAGGTACTCGTGAGGCTGAGGCATAAGAATCGCCTGAACCCAGGAGGTAGCACTGCACCACTGCACTCCAGCCCAGACAAAAGGGCACAAGACTCCATGTAAAAAAAAATATATATATATATACATTCAAGAAACAGTTTTCTAGTCATCAAAGCTGCCCCAATTATGAAAGTCTACACTTACACTCCAAGCACCGTAAGAACAGAAATGAGGTTTCCTCTCCTTTATTTCCTAGGGTCTGAAACATAATGTGTTTTTAAAATGTTGTTGTTCTTGAAACTTCAGAAACTGTATAGAGTAATGGGTGGCCTGCTCCTAAAAATCAAGGACTAATGCAGAATCCAGAAATGCTTGGATGCTGCAGAATGAAATGGCAGTACAACCCAGAGACAGAAGGGCTCTCCCAGGATCCTACATTCACTGTCCATGGCAGCCTAATTAGTCTATTCTAACACTCAAACTATAAAAGGCAATAACATATTCCCCAAGTCAGAGCCAAAACTCTAATCAGATCATCTATGTGTATCCAGGAAAAGAAATAGCAGAGTACCAACCAGGTTAACCTCTTTCCTTCCCACCACTGTAATTTACCTTTTAACGACGACAAGGCGTTAACTACTGCTTAAAAAAAATCTTAGAATATTTTACTGTTATGCTTGTTAATACCTATGGATTTCCCTTTGTACAACAGTTAAAAATACTCTCCCCTCCAAGACGAACAAACAATGCTTGTTTAAGAAATAGCAGGATAAACAAAAAGTTGGACAAGGGCAATCTACTTCATAAACAACCTAGAAAGAAAAGAACCTCCCCCAAGAGAGAAAGCAGTAGTTAACTGGAATTAGGCCACACCTCTCTGAGAACGAATGCAAAAAGCGTAAATATGCTCCATAACAAATCCCTCAACCTCTGCATCCCCAAGCTACTGCAACCAAGTGTGTTATGCAGATTATTAATAGTTAAGATCACCTGACTTTACAATAAGATAAAACATCTTACTTGTTGCGCCAAGGCGACGTGTGTCTCTGGCAATATAATTTGCAAAGATAATAGACCTCATGCTGGTCTTACCAGACCCACTTTTACCCATCAACAGCACCTAAGGACAAAGTAGGGAAAAAGAAAGGAAACAAGTTAACAATCTAGAGCAAATCAAGTCTAAAGGGATTTATTTGTCTCCTGGATTTTATATTTTCCTGAAATGACAGTATCAACAACCTGGTGTGGATATTTAGAACTAAACTCTTCTCAACCAATGGTGAATGCAGAGATACTTAGAATTCCAGGAGCCAGGCACTTACCTATCACAGGACAAACATCCTTTAGGTGAGAGAATTACAGTGAATTTATGCTACCAACACGCGCTGTTAATATGTTCAGAAACAGAGTAGAGAAATACCACATTAGAAGAAACTAAACACTGTTCTCTCATAATTCAATGTTTTATTAACGGAATTACCTAGCAAAGGATTGCAATATAACTGAAAGTTCTTCCTCCTTTTGCTCAAGGTCAACTTTTCCACCTCTGCCCTTGATTTCATCCCTTCCATTTACCTCTATGCCCTTGTTCCATGTATTACTCTGTCCCTCCTTTTTCTTCTCAAAACCTTCCCATGGCCTGCAGGATGAAGTCCGGAGACTACATATAAGACCCTCCTTGATCTAGTCTATTTACTTCTCATCCCTCATCTCCTGTCGCTCTTGGCCTGGAACTTATAGCTTACAGTCACACTTAACTGAACTGCTGGTAGTCCCTCTGACTGTTCCCAGTCCTCTGGGAGGTCCTGCATCTGTGCCGTTGTTTCATGCAGTACTCTCTGACAGTTAGCTGTCTATTCTCCTTTCTTCTTTCAGCTAAATTGTAGTTATCCTTCAAGACTTGGTTCAGTAATCATTTTCTCAAGAAGCTTTTCTGAGTCTAATGCTTTAGACTGATTCAAGTGTCTTCTGTCCTGCCATGGCACTGTTACTTCCTTGCAAAGACTATGATGCATTGCAATCACTTATTTTGTGGGGGTCTGTCTCTCTCTCAGAAGACTGTAAGCTCCTGAAGGGCAGAGTCCCCTGGTACCTCCAATGCCTAACATAACAGATGCTCAAAGCATGTACATCAAAAGAACAAGCAAGATATCAAAACAAATATATAAAGCAAAAGAGTAACTGACAGTGAGAATTGTCCAAGGGAAAGGGTAGCCTCACGAAGGTAAGCAGCCTTCCTATGAATGTCGGCATCTCACACAGAGAGACCTTGTCAAAGATGCTCTCTACTTTCATACTAAAAGGGAATTTAGTAAAGTGACTTTGGAGAGTCCTTTCTCATCTAGAATTTATGAAATATAGTTCTAATTACCTTGCTTTTGTTATCTTTTTTTTTTTTTTTTCTTTTTGAGACCAAGTCTTTCTCTATCATCCAGGTTGAAGTGCAAAGACATGATCTTGGCTCACTGCAACCTCTGCCTCCCCGGTTCAAGTGATTCTCATGCCTCAGCCACCCCACCTGAGTAGCTGGGATTACAGGCTTGCACCACCATGCCTAGCTAATTTTTTTTTTGTATATTTAGTAAAGACAGGGTTTTGCCATGTTGGTCAGACTCATCTTGGACTCCTGGCCTCAAGTAATCTGTCAGTCTCAGCCTTCCACAGTGCTGGGATTACAGGCATGACCCACAGTGCGCAGCCTTACCTTGCTTTTCAAATGAAGGGAATTTATGTTCTACCTTCAATCCCAAGATATTTCATAAAAATTTCTAATTACAAATATAAGGAGTATTGATGAAAATATACTATACTCAAGCTTGATTTAATCTAACAATTTATGTAACTTTATCTTACTAACGAAATGTTACTGCTGAGCCAGTCTAAAGTTGCCACAAAAAGTTTGCTTGTGTTCTTTAAAATTTTAACGGAAAAACAATAATTGTATATATTTGGGGGGTACTATGAGAGTTCTGATGTATGTATACCATGCAGAATGATTAAATCAAGCTAATTTTTGTTCTTATTCATGTAGAAATTTCTGGTATATTAAGGCATTTTCGATGAAAGCAACTTCGGACAGGCTCACCAAGAACATTCCCTTAGCAAGCTGTAGTTACAGAACTGAATTATTAGATGAAGCTAAGGCTAAATATATTTCCTTTGGTTTTTAATTTATAAAATGTACCTCTTTCAATACCCTATGAAAGATTTACCAAGGCTAATCATGTTAGATAATGATCAAAGTGTTCTATAGGCATTTACTCATTTAAACGTCACAACAATCCTATGATACAGTTAATATTATTACTACCATTTTACAAATGAAGAAACTGAAGCCCCAAAAGGTTAAGAAATTAGCTTGAGCTACACTCTTAGCAATTCTGCCTAAACCCCAATGTGGGGCACAACACTATGAGAGCACAAAGGAAGGTGTGTCCAATTCCATCTAAAGACTTCACATAAGACCTTTTAGTGGTAACATTTGAGTTAGGTTAAAAATAAACGTGCAGACAGAGGCCTGGACAGTGTGTGGTATATGGCTTACACAAAGTACAAATTGATTTGTAAATCTGGAGAAAAGTAAATTCTGTATGGCTGTGATAGGGTGCATACGTGTGGCAGAGGGTTTGGTCAGTAATAGATTTTTAAAGGGCCATGAAGTCATTTGGCTTAGAGAAGTTACTAAAGGTTCTTAAGTATGTGGATGACTCAATCAGATTTCCATATTAGAAAAATTAAATTTCATAGCATAAAAGGGGAAGAGAGTCACAGAGATCACATAGAAGGCTCCTGCAACAGTCCAGAAAAGATGGTGTGTGTGTATATATAGGTGTGTATATATATATATATATATATATATATATAATTATGTATCACAAAGTTCCTGAATATCAACTTCTTACCTTTACCTGCATAGTTTTGATGTATCTAACAGTCTTACCTTTTTCTTCATGGCTGTATTTGGTAGCACCCACCTGCAGATATAAACCAAAAGACAGTTTCCATGATCCAATTCCCTTAGAAATTGAAATTAATGAAATATAAATAAACGTGGAGGTACAAAAAGCATGTTCAGTACAACAGCTGAGTACAGTTGTGTGGAGGACCTCAGATGAATAGAGGCCCCATTTTCTTAAATTATAAAACTGTGTTTATGCTTCCTATCTCCTAAATAGAAGCTCAAGAGATAGGGCCTAGGAAGATTTATTTAGGAATACAAATGAGACATTAAAATTCAAGATTCAATTTTTCATCATCTTAAAGCAACGCAGCTGCTTTAATGAATCAAACAATATCCTCTATTTCTAAAAAGTAAGAGTATATTGAATATCCTCTATTTGAGGATTGAATATCGAATATCCTCTATTTCTAAAAAACATTCAGCCTCCTATTGTTAAAATCTAGAAGCATCTTTTTAGTCCTTCAGCTGTCCTTCCAACCCCTATTTTACTCATCACAGGCACAGGTACATATAACACAAGTCTCAAATTCAGGTACAAACTGGCACAGAAAGCACCCTCAAAACCACTGCTCTCTGACCTGGAAATGCAAATCTTCTTCCTAGTCTATCCCCAAACTGGTGACAGGAAATCTCCTTTACTGATAATTCAAAGCAACTCGACTGCTTTAATCAGACCACTCCCCCAGCACCACCACCAGGAATATCAGCCCCTTCCCAAGGGTTGTTTCTGCCCAGTTAGCACCAATTTGCTTTCCAGTTTATCCTGTTGTCAAAAGCATACCACCGATCAACACTACTGGTATATCGAAGTAATTTATCATTGTGGGGTGGGGAGAAGTTTTCTAATTCACAATACTCTCCTCAATTGGAACACCCCCACTTCCAGGTTTGACATAATACCCTTCACCCACCCAAGCGATCCTTCCGGTTCCCCTAGAGGAGGATCCATTCTCGGCCCCAGATTTTCTTTCTCCATCTTTTTCTCGGAGTCAGAGTCCTCCATTGCGCAACAAGTCTTTTCCAGTCCCTTCTAAATCTTCAGTACTCTTTGGGGGGAGGGGGGGGTTGTTGTTTTCTTGTTCACCCCTCAACCGCCTATTCTCATCGCCTACGGCCCTCAGGACTGCTCTATTCTTGCCTCCGCCTTTGTCCACTGGGGGGCCGCCTTCCCCACGGTTACCTTTATCGCCCCGAACCTGGCCTCAAGGCACGGCCGCGCTGGCTAGCTCAAAGGCCAAGTAATTCGGTGGTACAAAGTAAGAGTTAGAGAATGACAGGAAAAGAGAGGTGAGCTAAGGGTTCGTCCCAAGTTTGGGCCTCAGGCCCCAAGGTCTCGAAACCCAAAGGTAACTTCACCCGCAAAGAATTGGGGACCGCGAAGGCGGAGGCAGCAGAAAGAGCTGACCCTTGACGTAGGCACTAAGCGGTGAACGCCTCAGCTGAGCCGTTGTTTCCTTGCCCGGCAACTCAGGAGAGTCCGCCGGCGGCGACGGTGGTTAAAACCTAACCGCCCGCCCTTCAGGAACCCAGGTACCTCACCGCAGCCACCCGACTGCAGGCCAGGATCACGTGGGCACCTGCCGTAAACCCGGAGTCTGTCACGTGACTGTCGCTACCAAAGGGACGGGCGGGCTGGGAAGAATACCATAGAGACTGCTCCGGGAAAGCCAGAGTGCCGTCTGTTTCATCGTCACATGACCTCGGCTCTGGCTCCGCGCCGCGGGCGGGGCGATGGGAGCACTCAGCCTCTTTAATGTGGGTGGACCTGGCCCCACCCATCCGCTATGGAGAATTAAAGGAGCCGGTGGCAATTTCAGTGCCTCTGAGCTCCCCGTTTTTACTGCTGGTTACCAGTAATGGTTTTTGACCGGGAAGGTCGAGCATTGTCTTTGCCTTCCTGCTTTTTATTGTTAATCCTTGCAATCCAGTTTGTAATTAAATATCTAATACATCCAAAACGCTTAGAACTGTGTCTTCCACATAGCAAATGCTCTAGAAATTATTTACTGCTGAAACCAGGGATTCATCGAGAATTTTAACACACACATTCATCTTCCCACTTGTTTAAAACAGGATGTCTAGGGCTGGAAGTGGTGGGTCATGCCTATAACCACAGCACTTTGGGAGGCCGAGGAAGGAGGATGGCCAGGAGTTCAAGACCAACCTAGACAACATAGCAAGGCCCCATCTGTAAATAAATAAATAAATAAAGTCTACTGGTAGGGATATGCACACCAGAAAAATTCCCCATAGGGTTCAAAGATGTTGCTTCTAGAGACGGGGGTAGGGGTAGGACATGATACATCAGGGGACTATTATTTATCTTAAGCCCTTCTGTGCTATATATATTTCTATAATGTATAAATGATATATAATAACAAGCTATTAATATAACATTTAGTTATATTTAATATAATCAAGTAATATGTTAATATAAATGGTATATTAGTTATGTTATTTTTAATGCGTGTGTAATTGTTAAATATATTATTTATAAGTAATACATTATATATGATATACTACATGTCTTATTTATACATAACTGTGTACATACATAACTTAGATAAGAAAAAAAGGGAAGGAAGGAAGGCAGACTGCAGGAAACAGGGTACTATGGAAACTGCCTTTGCAAAAATTGTAAGTGAGGAAATTATGACAGTGAAAGAGATCAGACTTAACTGACTCCATCTTTCTTCTTACCTTTAAGCTGTCCTTGTTCATTCCTGGGTGTAGGCCGAACTAACCTTGGGAAGGAATTTAGTTTATAGTTTAACTCTGATACAAAATTGATAATAGCCCTTTCCCTCCACCTCCCCCACCCCCAAAAAAAACCGTTTTACCTGGGAACCAGTCGGCCTTTGCAGGACTAACAAATTAGCTACAAGATTAGAAATTACAGCTTAGGGGCCATGCAGCCTCCAGCTGCAAGAGTCTGAACCTCTCCAAATTGCTCCCAGGAATAACATCATGGTTGTAAAACCTAAGATCAGTGCTTCATGTATTTTGCAGACCCTGCATTCAGATGCACCAGCTTATGATATAGGAGGGGGTGGGCAGCGAAGTGCTGGGTAGAGAAAGGCAGGTCTCTGGCTAGGGCTCTACCTTTTGGGTCTGTGCTCAGGGACCTAGGTGAGGGGAGGCACTCCTGCCAAATGTTACAGTTACTTCTAGACGTTGCCAAGGGGTCGCAGCCCCACAGCCTGCCCGTATGCATGCTCCCCCTAGAGGTTTAAGCATGGGGCACTGAAGAAAGGAACCATTCCCCCTGTGGTATGCCCTGCGAGGGGGATAGGGGAACTTTCTCAGTTTCACTTACACCACTCAGACCAGTAATCTTCCCCAACCAGTTCTGCGATCCCACCCAGGAACAGAAGATAGCAAGAAAAACTCACTTAGAACCCCCTATGATTCCTTATCCAACTCAACCAATCAACACTCCCCACTTCCTGAGCCCCTACCCACCAAATTATTCCTAGAAATTTCAGTCATCCAGTGCTCAGGGAGACTGATATGAGTAATAAAACTCCAGTCTCAAGCACAGCTGGCTCTGCGTGAATTACTCTTTCTCCATTGCAATTTCCTTGTCTTGATAAATCAGCTCTGTCTAGGCAGCAGGCAAGGTGAACCCATTGGGTAGTTACACTGCCTGCTCCCACACATCCCACTTGACGTCCTGTATGATTCCTTCTCTCCACAACTGCCTTGCCTCAAGAAAATATTATTCTACTCTGATTAGTGATCCTTTGCCCTATCACTAGCTAATCTTTTGTCTCCTTCCAACCAACTACCCCAAACAACCTCCTCCATTCTGGCTTTCCTTGTCTGATGAAAACTTCCTGAGTCCCAAACCAGGAATCCACTTTAGATTCACTGCCCTCCGTATGTGTCAATGAGACAGGGTTATGATTAGTCTATTTTCTACTATCTTCCTGTTCTTATTCTTACTGCTGCTCTTTTTGTTCCTGCTATCATAATCTCTGGCCTGGATATCCACAATAGCCTCTTAAGTGATTTTCCCACAGTGGCAGTTCAAAAGGGGTTGGGAGGGGAGTGAGTGAGTTGATGTTCATCAGGCATTTAATCCCCTAAAACATTTGATGTCATTAATATGTGCTTGCTTTCTAAAGGCAGCTTTCAAATGCACCAGCCAAATTGGCCCCCTAAACCACTCTTTCATAAAAATTTACTGTCTAAGCAGGACACAGTGGCTCACGACTGTAATCCCAGCACTTTGGGAAGCCAAGGTGAGTGGATCACCTGAGGTCAGGAGTTCAATCAGCCTGGCCAACATAGTAAAACCCCGTCTGAACTAAAAATACAAAAATTAGCCAGGTGTGGTGGCACGTGCCTGTAACCCCAGCTACTCGGGAGGCTGAGGCAGGAGAATCACTTGAACTCAGGAGGCAGAGGTTGCAGTAAGACAAGATCACACCATTGCACTCCAACCTGGGCGACAGAGTGAGTCAAATATATATATATATTACTGTCTCCCTGTTGCTGCTGGTATCCTTCAAACCATCCATCCTCCCTAAAAGTTGCTCCAGTGAAGCACTACACACTGAGGTCAGTTGGGGGGAAATAGGGGAGGGACGGTGGGGGGTGGGGAGTTGGGGCGAGATAGCAAGGGGAGAGATGCCAGATGTAGGTGATGGGGAGGAAGGCAGCAAATCACACTGCCACGTGTGTACCTATGCAACAGTCTTGCATGTTCTTCATGTGTACCCCAAAACCTAAAATGCAATAAAATAAATAAATGGTTAAAAAAAATCAGAAAGCTGGCGAATAAAAAGTTTATAAGTTCAAAAAAAAAAGTTTCTCCAGTGATCCTTTATTTTAATTAATTAATTAGTTCTTGTAGAGACTGTGGTCTTGCTTTGTTGCCAGGTTCAAACTCCTGGCATCAAATGATTCACCTGTCTTCACCTCCCAAGGTGCTGGGATTACAGGTGCGATCAAATTTCTTTTTGTCGTGTTTTTGTTTGTTTGTTTTAGACAGGGTCTTGCTCTATGATCCAAGCAGGAGTACAGTGGCACAATCACGGCTCACTACAGCCTCAACTGAAGTGATCTTTTAAAGCACAAATCAGACGAGACTACTTCTCTACTTTAAAATCTTCCCGTAACTTAAGGAAAAAGTGTGTCAACACAAGGACCTTCAAGATCTGGCCTATAGCAACTCACAAGCTATATTTCTCTACCCACACTCACTACATCACAAACTTCATAAGGAACTGCTGGTAGTCACCTCAAAGTACTAAGAGGCAAGAAGTAAGAAGAGGAAGGAACAGATAAAAAGGGGAAGGGAGGGATGAAGAGGAAATGGGGAGAAGTAGGGATATGGGAAGAGGGAAGGAAGAGAGGGGTAAGGAGAAGAGGAAAAAGGAAGAATAGGGTAAGAGGAGGGGAATGGAAGAAGGGTAGTGGAAAAGGATTGAGGAACTAAATCAAATGAAGTATTGACTCCAAAGAATGATGAAGAGGGCCAATGTGCAATGTATTCCTATTTTAAATCAAAAATAAAATACCAAGGTTCCTGAACCATTTGAATGTACTTTCTCCTCTGCTAGAGCGCTTTTTAAAAATTTATCCTGAGAGACTGTTTCTGGCCATGACAGGAAGTAGGGGTTGAACGTGCCTCAACATACCTCTCCAGCTTGAACATCAACAAAAACCTTTAAATCTGATGAGAAGCATTTATAATCTATTCTCTCTGAACCTGGAGGCTTCATCTGCATGATTAAAATTTGGTCTCCACAACCTCTTGTCTTAGGCCAGACGTTCCTTTCTATTGATTCCAGGTCTTTAGATAAACTCAAACAATTGTCAACCAGAAATTTTTTTTAATCTACCTATAAGATGGAAGCTTCCCCACCCACACCCCCCTGCTTCCAGTTGTCCTACCTTTCTAGGCCAAACCCATGTATTTCTTAAAGGTATTTGACCAAAGTCTCCTGTCCCCCTAAAATGTAGAAAACCAATCTGCACCCCCAACCACATTGGGCACTTGTTCTCAGGATCTCCTGAGGGCTGTGTCACAGGCCATGGTCACTCCTGTTTGGCTCAGAATAAATCTTGTCAAATATTTTACAGAGTTTGACTCTTTTTGTTGACACTATATAGTCTAGCAGTAAAGATTCTACCCAGGTACCTTTTGCTGCTTATTTTTCAAATTTTTATCTTTTTGAAAACCTTAACTACATAGGAAATGGAAGTCACTTTTTATTTTTGTCATTTTAATTTTTAAACTTTAATTTGACAAAATTAGGTTCCTTTCAGAAAGTGTTAACCAAGCTCTACTACTCACACATTCATTCAACAAATGTTTATTGAGCAGCCGTTCAGTACCAGGAACTGTATTGGACAACAGGGATACAAACATCACTCTATTTCAGGTTCCACTGCCCATCAGATGCTTTTGTCTTAAGACTTCAGCTCCACTGTATGCACACAAACGTCATCATTCCCTTTGTCTAGATCCCAATACATATATTTTTTTAACCATCCATCTCAGCAAGAAAAAGTAATACAGGCCTCCAACAAATTCTTTAATAAGTTTCCTTTTATGCCCTAAACTAAATCTAGTTAACCTATATCTGCAAACAT